GGGGGGGGAGGGATTGGTGGGCGGCATAACTAAGAGAAAGAGAACGAACGCCTTTATTCTTCCTTTTTCTAATTTTATTTTTTGTATTTTTCTTTTCTTTTTATTTTTTTCCTTATTTTAATCATTAAATTTTTATGTTAACGCTCCATATACGTGTGAAATACACGTATTTGTCCACTTCAGCAATTAAGTTGCCACGTAGACTTGGTCAATGGTCAGAGGGGTTTAAAATATCGACTTTGAACAACTATAAGTGTTTGGACGAAACTTTGTCAAGTATAGCGACCGGGATGAGAAACGCGAACAAGTACAAGTGTCTACCACGCTATTCTGCCTTATTAAAGGTTTGAAGTGTCAAACTGAAAATGGGTTACATGGAGGTGTCTACTTGATCGTTGAACACAACTTAAAGGGTCGTTTACGTATTTCGTAAAAAAAAATGGTGTAAGCCTCAAGCCACATGGGTATATAGGCTCCACAAATAATTAATTTTTTCATAATTCTAGAAATATAAATAACCTTTATAAATAAAAATTGAAGAATATACTAAAAATTAATTTAATTCAAAAAAAAATACGGCAATTAGTTTAACTATTTACACAAATTAGTACTTTAAGTCACCAACAATCCTAAATTATAGAACATATTGTGTAAATTATACTCCAGTCAAATACTTAATAGAAAGTTTAAATAAAAAAATTCTGGGAATGATAATATATGTTTGGTTAAATTTTATAAGAAAATTAATAGAAACAAAGAGGAATTCAGCAGTACAGGAAAAAGATGTACTAACAAAATGGTATTCTTGAAAGAGTGCTTACGGTTCACTTTTTTCTGCCAATATGATGAAAGTCAAGCCTCGAGTCTCGACGACATCGCGAATGGGTTATTCATAAGTTGATTCACTATGCATTGATAAATAAGTTCTTGACGTTTTCTTAAGGAATTAAAAAATAAAACGGGGGCTAAAAATTAAAGGTTTGGAAGAATTTGTTGCAAATGTTATGTACACAAGTCAGATGTTAAGAGTAGGAATACGACAGTGACTAGATTTGGGCAAGGGAAAATCCCTATGCAAGTACCGCGCAATAATTCCTATAGAAGGTTTATCTTATATATTTTTGTTATTTGTGGCTTGAGTTATCTTCTTGTATTTTTAGGAAACTCATAACCCTTATAGGTTTAGGAAAACATATTGTCCTAATAGATTTGGGAAAGGAAAACCTATAGTCCTTGTCAAATTGGGAAAGCTTTCTCTTATAGGTTTGAGATCTTTGGGATCTATATATAGGGGTTGTAGTTGGGGATTCTAGAGATTGTACTGTACTTTTCTTCTCATTCATAGTGAAAAACTCTCTCTGCTTTTGCCCCGAGGATTAGGCTTAGCCGAACCTCGTTAAATCCTTGTGTTGATTTTTCTTCTCTATTTGTTTTGTGTGTGATTGTGTACTAGTTAACCCACGATATTCCGCAACAATTGGTATCAGATCAAGGTTCGGGTTTCTACATATAATCTAGGGTTAAGATGTCTTCATCATCTTCAACAAAGTACGAAGTAGAGAAATTTGACGGGGGTTCTAGTTTCAGTCTATGGAAGATTATGATGAAATCGTCCCTGGTGTTACAAGGGTTATGGAAGGCAATTGATGAGGATTTTCTTGAAGAGATGAAAGAGACAGAGAAGACAGACCTGAAGGAGAGGGCTTTGAGTGTGATCTTCATGAGCGTTACAGATAGCGTTCTTCAGGAAATTGGTGAAGAAACTTCTTCAGCAATGGCATGGAAGAAGTTGGAAGATATGTATTCTAAGAAATCGCTGACAAACCGCCTCTACCTGAAAAAGAGGTTATACAATCTCCGTATGAATGAAGGTACACCTGTTAAAACTCACATTGATGAGTTTAATTCAATCATAATGGACCTGAAGAATGTGGATATCAAAATTGAGAGTGAGGATCATGCCTTGATTATGTTATGTTCTTTACCACCGTCTTATGATACTTTTGTCGATACGCTGCTATATGGGAAATACAACATTTCACTAGAAGATGTTAGTAATACACTAAAATCTAAAGAGTTGAAAAATAGCTTTCCAGACAGCAGAATTGAGGGCGAGGGTCTTGTGATTAGAGGAAGAACACATCAAAAGGACTTACAGGAAAAAGTCAACCGCCATATCAAAGTCTAGAGCAAGGAAACAACATTGTTATGAGTGCAGGGAGCAAGGTCACTACAAGAGATATTGTCCTAAGTTGAAGGAGAAAAGAGGGAAGTAGAAAATAGATAATTAGGTAAATATTGTTGACACTGGCAATAATTCTGATGATAGTGACTATGTAGGGGAAGTCTGTGATGTGAGTTCTAGTTATGGGAAAAATTCTTGGGTTCTTGATTTTGGTGCTACTTTCCATATGCGTCCACACAAGAACTGGTTTGAACCTTACGAGCAAATGAGTGGGACTGTCTACATAGGAGATGATAATTCATTACCAGTAGAGGAGGTTGGTAATATCAAATTGAGAATGTTCGACGGAATTATCAGAAACATTGAGTGTTGGCATGTTCCTCGGATAAAGAGAAATTTAATTTCTCTTTCGACTTTGGATGATCAAGGGTATAAATTTCACTCTCAGAATGGAATACTTAAAGTGTGTAAAGGCTCCATGGTACTCATGAAGGGTAAACTGCATTCTAAATTATATCATCTTCAGGCCAGTGTAGTTGAAGGGGAAGCTGTTGTAGCTTCTGGGAAAAGTGTTCTGAATCAGTCTCAGTTGTGGCACTTGCGACTTGGCCATATGAGTGATAATGGATTGTCTTTGTTGAGTAAGCAGAATTTGTTGAATGGGTACAAAAATTAAGTTTTAAATTTTTGTGAGCATTGTGTGTTTGGTAAACAGACAAAGGTAAAGTTCAGCAAAAAGGCCAAGCACAAGACCAGAGACAAGTTAGATTATATACACTCAGACTTGTGGGGTCCAAATAGAGTTCCCTCCAAGAGTGGTGACAGGTATTTTGTGACTTTGATTGATGATTACTCAAGTATGGTATAGGTGTATTTTCTGAAAACAAAAGATGAGGCATTTTCAACATTTGTTAAATGGAAGACGATGGTTGAGAGGCAGACGAAAAGAAAAGTTAAGCGTCTTCGAATTGACAATAGGTTGGAATTTTGCAATTCTGTGTTCGTTAATTTCTGCAGCAGAGAGGGCATAGTGAGACATCGTACTTGTGTCGGAACACCATAACAAAATGGTATTGCAGAATGTATGAACAGAACGCTTTGTGATAGGGCACGAAGCATGCTTTCACACTCATGTGTTAGCAAAGATTTTTGGGCTGAAGCAATCAATACAGCTTGTTATTTGGTCAACAGATCTCCATCCACAACTATTGAGTTCAAAATTCCTTTTGAGGTATAGTCCGGTTCGCCTGCTGATTATTCAAATTTAAGGGATATTTGGTTGTCCTGCTTATGCTCATGTGAGGGATGGAAAACTTGAGCCGAGGGCAAAGAAGCGCATATTTATAGGGTATGGAACTGGAGTGAAAGGTTATAGGTTGTGGTGCACATATCAAAAGACTCCAGGGCTAATTATCAGTAAGGATGTATCATTCAATGTATCTGCCTCACTGGACAGCCAGAGGGAGAAGGCAATAGCAGAAATAGATCATGGTGTCAGTGACCGCATAGAGCTAAAAATTGAATCTCCACTAGCTCAGCCCAGTAGTTCTAAAGTAGAGGAAGTGGAGGAGGTGCGAAATATTGATCAAAATGATAGTGTTGATGCATCTGCGCAACAACAACCATATAGCATTGCAACAGGCAGAGAGAAGAGAGTGATCAACCGACCGCAAAGGTTTGCAAACGTAGTTGATGGGAATCTTCTTGGATATATGAATCCAGTGGGATTTGCTTTGTCAGTTGTAGAGACCGTTGATACATTTGAGTGTTATAGCTACTCAAAAGCTATTCAGAGTACAGAACCAAATCGACGGATTAGCAAGTTTAGGCGTTGCCTAGACTTGGTTGATATGTGCGGCAATGGATAGATCCCTTGCGGAGGCTGAGGGCAAGGTAGAGAGACGTTGTTCCTGTTGATGAAGAGAATTCAAGCCAACGGGAAGATTTGTTATTTGTGGCTTGAATTATTTCCTTGTATTTTTAGGAAACCCATATTCCCTATAGGTTTAGGAACACCCATTGTCCTAATAGATTTGGGAAAGAAAAACCTATAGTCCTTGTCAAATTGGGAAACCTTTCTCTTATAGGTTTGGGACCTTTTGGAATCTATATATAGGGGTTGTAGTTGGAGATTCTAGAGATTGTACTGTGCTTTTCTTCTCATTCATAGTGGAAAACTCTCTCTGATTTTGCCCCGAGGATTAGGCTTAGCCGAACCTCGTTAAATCCTTGTGTTGATTTTCTTCTCTATTTGCTTTGTGTGTGATTGTGTGCTAGTTAACCCAAAATATTCCGCAATTGTAGATTTCTAATTTTACTTATTTATAAATAGTTAAAGTTCTACGACATTTATATTAATGTATTGAGTTAAACTAGCTCTAATTAGATCCCTAATTGTTCTGGAACAATATGAGCAGCTGCAAAACTTGGTACTGGAAACGCGGGCTACAGATGCCCTCCCGTTATACATAGCTTCGTTTTGAAATTAATGGTGTTTTATTAGGCGTGGCATGAGGTAAGGCAACACACGGGTGAAGGCATATAAATATTTAATTTTTTGTATCTTATAAATCATTAAAATGACATCAATTTATGGGGTAGAATAAGCCATAAACTCATCTCATTATGAGTAAAAAATTAAATATAGAAGGGTGATGGAAAATATGCAATATAAATTGGAATTAGGGAATACTAGTTGCTATTTTTATTTTATTTTATGTTTTTATTGTTTCAAGATTCGCGCGGTTAGATGTTCAAGTCGGCTAGTGTGTTCAAGTCAGTTATAAGTTGCACGCTCCTGATGCATTTTATCTTCGTCCTCGTTCCCTCCTCAAGAACTCTCTCCTGATCACTTCTTTGAAATACTCCATTTGTACTTTGAGTTTTAAGAACTCTCTCCTGAAATACTTCATTCCTACTTTGAGTTTCAAAAACTATCTCCTGATCATTTCTTTGAAATACTCCATTCCCACTTTGAGCCATTAGCTTCCAATAACTCTCCATTCATTTCTTTCAAATACTCCTGATGGGTTTTCAATGTCTTGCCTTATGTTTTGATGATCTAACAAACTTACCGCAAGAACCAAAGAGGGAACCCGACACACTTGGCACACATTGCAAGTGAATGAATTCCACCCTGAACTCCAGCTAATGTGAACTGCTGCAAGTGTAGAGAATTGAGGAACAAGACAGGGACCTGATCCCTTGGTGTTTCTCTGACAGAAATACAAGTCAACGATACAGCTGGAAAGCAACTACAAAAAGTAACTGCCTGCAACTGTACACGCGACAGTGTAGCAAACAGTACATCAGTCACTTCCCATTGGGAAGAGGCGTGTACCAACCAAGAATTAACATCATCCTTGGTATGTCATTGGTAGTATAACAACATGGTGCAAGGCACAAGATATTTCACTTGAGCATTTAGTGATATTCTCTCAAGCATTAAAAGAGGGTATCCAGCATTGAAGTCACTGGTGTGTCAAGAACAAGAAGACAACTCCACTAAGGATCAGTTCCACAATGAGTCTATGTGTATCCGTAGTTGAGTTGTAATCTTGTTGTTTGTTCTTCATTGTGACTCATATCCTGCTTTCTTAGAAGCCTTGTTTTAGGAAACTCAAAATCATAAACCTTCAGAGTTTGTGTTGTGACTAGAGTTAGTCATAAGTTAAAGTCTTTGTAGCTAGTGAGTGACAAAGTGGCTTGTGGTAAGTGTATCACAAGTTAGTTGAGTTAAAGTCTTTGTAACTAGTGAGTGACAAAGTGGCTTGTGGTAAATGTATCACAAGTTAGTTGAGTTGAAGTCTTTGTAATAGAGCCATTTCAAAGTGGCTTGTAATAGTGTGATTACAAGTTAGTGAAGTTGAAAGCCTACAAGTGTAGGTCGTGGTTTTTGTCCTCTTGAGTTGGGATTTTACCACGTAAAAATCCCGTGTCTTATTTACTTACTGTTTCCGTAGTATTCTCAGAGGAAACCCATAGAGGACCAGGTACCCTATAGTTTGGTGGACTCATATATTCTAACAATTGGTATCAGAGCAGGTGCTTTCTAAAAGGTTAACACCTAGAAAGGATCTCAATGGCTGCTCCACCTAACTTTGAGGAAGGACAATCAACCTACAGACCTCCTAGATTCAATGGTCAGTACTACGGCTAGTGGAAGACTCATATGCATGATTTTATAATGTCAGAAGACTCAGAGTTGTGGGACGTCATTTGTGATGGTCCACATGTTCCTATGAAGAAGCTTGGAGAAACTGTACCAATGGTGCCGAAAAACAGAAAAGAGTACAGTGATATTGACAAAAAAGCAGTAGAAAAGAACTATCGTGCCAAGAAAATCTTGGTATGTGGTATAGGACCTGATGAGTACAATAGAATCTCAGCTTGTGATTCTACCAAGGAAATATGGGAAGCATTGCAAATCGCACATGAAGGAACTACTCAGGTTAAACAGTCCAAGATTGACATGCTCACCACCGAGTATGAGCTCTTCAGGATGAAGGATGATGAGTCTATGCAAGATATGCACACTAGGTTCACATCCATCATAAATGAGCTTCATTCACTTGGAGATGTTATTCCCAAAAACAAGCTTGTGAGAAAGATTCTCAGTGTTCTACTTGGCTCTTGGGAGAGTAAAGTGAATGCCATCACTGAAGCTAAAGATTTACAAACTCTAACCATGGATGAGCTGATTGGAAATCTGAAGATATACGAGATGAAAAGAAAGAAAGACAGTGAAAGAAGAGAGTCAAAGAAGAAGAAGAACCTGGTGCTCAAGGCTGAAAACAGTGACTCAAGTGAAGAAGATAGTGATATGGCATATCTTACTAAAAGGTTTCAAAAGATGGTTCGAAGAAATTATGGTATACCAAAAAGGGGTAGTTCAAGTAAGGCAAGGAACAATGATCTCTGTCACAAGTGCGAAAAGTCAGGGCATTTCATCAAAGACTGCCCACTTCTGAAACAGGAGCAATACAAACAAAACTCTGAAAAAGCAGCAAAAAGGAACCCGGTTCCTGACAAACGATTCAGTCGAAAAAGTGCAGCTGACAATGTTGTGAAGCAAGCTCTTGCTGCTTGGGGAGACTCCTCCAGTGAATCAGAAAGGGAACCAGATGCAGAAAACAGCTCCATGATGGCAGTGGAAACTGAAGCAACGAAATATGACTCACTGTTTGCGCTGATGGCTCAGTCTGACGATGATGAAGAGGACTAAAATGATGAGGTAAATTTTAGGGATGTTTAGAAAAATCTGAAGTTTTACTCTTCTAAGAAACTAATGTCATTACCAAATGTTCTAATTGATGCATATTATAGCCTTATTAATGATAAAGATATCTTGACCATAGAGCTAGGAGATGCTGAACAATCTAAAGATGGTCTAGTGGTCTATGTAGTTGATCTAAATGAGACCATAGCTAATCTTGAAAAAGAAAAGGAAGCTTTGAATGAAAAAATAAAGAATGTAGAAAATGAGAGAGATGACTTGATGGTAGTGGTTGTTGATTTGAAGGAAACCATAGAAAACTTTAGCAATGAAAAGCACACTCTAGAAGAGAAAATTGTAGCTACTGAGCAAGAGAGGGATGACTTTTTGGTGATAATCACAGACCTAGAGGAAACTATTGAGGGACTCAAATCAGAACTTAGGCCTGCAAGTATTGAGAAAGGGAAAAAAGTAGCTAGTGAGACTCACATCAAGCTTGAAAAGGAATTAAATGATGTTAAAACTAGTCTATGGAGTGAACTGGAGAAAAATAGGCAACTTCAAGCTGAATTGGAGTGAGTAAAAATTGACCTTGAAAAATCTCTCAAATGGACCTGGTCCTCAGAAGCTGTCACTGTTATGTACCTCAACAATAATGGAAACAGACATGGAGTCGGGTTCCAAAAGGAGAAAACTCCTTACAACCCTCACAGCAAGTATGTCACTGTTCCTGATAACTGGCTCTGTACCCACTGTGGGAACAATGGGCATCTCAAAGAAAATATCCAGGCCAGGGTTCAATTCGTTTAGAAAAACAAAGTGTTTGCTGAAAAAGTGACTACTAGCAGGGGACCAGGTACCACTCGCAAAAAAACGTATGTTGCCTGCATGGACTAAGAAAGCTCGTATCCACCCCTTTCCTCACTACAAGGGACACAAACTAGTTTGGGTTCCTAAATCTAACCCATAATTTATATGTGCAGGGAACAGTGAGAGGAAGCGGACTGCAATGGATAATGGATAGTGGATGCTCAAAGAACATGACTAGAAACACCATGAATTTTCTCTCACTGAAAGCCTTGCAAGAAGGGAATGTACTTTTTGGAAATAGAAAGAAGGAGTACATTCTTGGTGTCGGGAAGAAAGCAGGGTAAAAGTTCGTGTCTAAGCTGGTGATATGAGCTGAATGAAGGCAATTGTTAATGATGCAGAACTTTGTCATAGAAGATTGGGGCATGCAAGCTTCACACCTCTGAATAAGTTTAGAAGGACTTGGTTCGTGGTCTGCAAAATTCAAGATTCACCTGGTCACTGGTTCTTAGAACACAGGGTGAGACTTTGGAGGTATTTGTGTCTTTGTCTAGAAGATCCACGTGAAGATGGAATTGAAGGTAGCATGCATCAGATCTGACCACAGGACAGAATTTGACAACGCCAAATTTGATGAGCTCTGTAATGAAAATGGAATCACTCACAACTTCTCAGTACCAAGGACTCCACAGCAAAATGTTGTTTGTGAAAGAAAGAACTGAACTCTGGAAGACATGGCACAGACAATGCTTATTGACAGTGGAATCACCAAACATCTCTGATAGAAGAAGTAAACACTGCTTGCTACTTGGTGAACAGGTGTATAATCAGGTCCCTCCTAAA